ACGTCGACCTACACAACCGCTCACGCCACGACCACTGGGAACATCACCCTTACGCCCACCAGTGACCTTCCTACACACACTGCCACCACAGGCACCACTGCACCTGCCCCTATCACGTCGTCCATCACACCCACGAATGTCGTGTCTTCTCCAACATCCACCACCTCTACCCCAGCGACCACCAACATCCAGACGTCACCCACGAGTGTGCTTCAGTCGTCTCCGCCTGCCTCAACCACAGAACCTGCCCCCACTTTCACCACCATCACTACCCCTCCACCCACCCTGCTTACCACATCGCCTCCACCCCGCGCCACATCCACCGCGGCATCTCCCACTACCACTGTCACCCGGGCCACAAGTGAAAGCACCGCTCCCACTGACACTTCAACCCCTGCCACCTCGATCACAGGTACTTCTGCGACTGCCTTAACTGTAGACGTAGACAGTACCACTACTCTCCCCATTCTCACAACAGTATCCTCGACTACACCACAGATTCCTTCTAGTGTTTCTCCCACACCATCCTCCTCTACTTTGAATACCCGTACAAATGCCATAATTACCCCTTTCTGTACCATCATCCTTTCTTCCGCCTCCACAGTGAAAACATCCTCTACTCTCTCTTCCAGCAGAGTAAGTTCAGAGTTCACCACTAGCTCTCTTCCTCCATCCCCGCCCACCTCCAGTACAGAAAATACAAAGTCTTCTCCCGTCACCACTTTTTCTACTCCCTCTTCGTCTGCTACTACAAGCTTTTCTACACCCCAGTCTCCTGTGATCCCTATTCTTACCAAAACAACCATCACTCCTACTATCTTTAGTTCTTCCACCACCCCATGTCCAGAAACTATATCAATTACAATAGTGCCTGCTTCTTCCACTACTCCATGTGTGGAAATGGATCCAACTCATGAAGTAACCTTTACACCCAGCATCTCATTATCAGTCATTCCCTCTACCACTGAGAAGGTCACCGTTCCTGGATACACCAGTATGACTACTGTCTTTCCTACACCTCTGGACACTTCTACTTCAGTTCTCGAAACTGGTCCCCCCAACCTCATTAGTGATGCTCCTAGTTCTATGAGCACTGGGGCCGTGCCCATCAGCACAGTTTTGACAAGCACACAAAGACCCCCCAGTGGAACTTGGATGAGCACCAACTCTGTAAATACGCCACGTATGCCGGGCTTTACTAGCCTCCCACTGACCACCGAACAAAGCAGCAGCGTTCCAACTGCCGTGACAACTTCAAGCAACTTGACTGCCTCCACCTCAACCACTACCCAGACTCCAAGAACACCGGTGACCACAACTCAGACTCCTACTACCCTCACGTCACCAAAGACAACTTCCACCACTACTCAGACAACCACTACTTCGACCACTACTCAGGCGACCACCCCTCAGACTCCCACCACAGTCACGTCACCAGGGACAACTTCTTCCACTACTCAGATGACAACTTCAACCACTACTCAGATGACCACCACCACCCCAGGTTGGACCTCCTACCTCCCTGTTCCTTCTCCTACTAAATTCCTGTGTCACCAATGTCAGGCCCCATTGTGAACTTCCCCTTCTTCTCGTGCTGCCCAGGAACCTGTGAGAATGATGGCACCTGGATTCAGGACCGCTGCCTCTGCCGCCCGGGGTTCTCTGGGGACCGCTGTGAGCGACAGGACAGCGTGTGCGAGAATGAGGGTCAATGGGATGGCCTCAAGTGTGTTTGCCCCAGCACCTTCTATGGCACCCGCTGTGAGTTTGCAGTAGAACAGATGGATTTTGGTGAGTTGCTGGGGCCCTGCCCTCTGCACTGTCTCTTGGGTTTCACTGACTCTCCCTGGTCCCAGCCCTGTGGTCCATGTGGAGGTGCCCATGCCATAATGCTCAAGTTCTCCATTCCTGCCTTCACTCTCACGCCCACTGCTAATCCATGCCTCCTGTGCACCCTCACCTTCACACATGGCTAGGACCACACCCCTGGTCAGGGGTGCTTGGAGCTGTAATTGTTTTTAATTGCTGCTGTCACGAATTACCACAAACTTCACAACTGTAACAACACAAATGTCTCATCTTACAGTTCTCCAGATTAGAAGTCTGACATGGTCTTGCTGGGCTAAATCAAGGTTTCGGCAGCGCTGTGCTCCTTTCTGAAGGCTCCGGGGAAGAATCCATTTCTTTGCCCTTTCCAGACTCTGGTGCCTCCCACCTTCCTTGTCTCAAGCTTCCCTCTCTCCATCTTCAACACCAGGAGCATTGCATCTCTGTGCCTTTCTCTTCTAGTCATGTCTTCACCTGAGTCATTCTGACTCTTTTGCCTCTGTCTTCCACTGTTAAGGACCCTCGTGATTACATTGGGTCCATTCATTTTCCCATATTTCACATTAATTTTCCCACATTAACATCAGCTGATCAGCAATCATCATTCCACCTGAGCCTTGATTCCTCCTGCATCTAGCAGAACATAGTCACAGGTTCTGGGGAGTGAGACCTAGGTATCAGTGGGGGCCATTATTCATCTCCCACTGCGGCAGACAACGAGAGCACCCTGACTTCCATTCTTTCCCTCTTCTCGGGACAAGTCATCCCAGAATTCCTACCTTCTCCCTCCTGCTCTTCAATCAGTCCTCGGGAACATGGAGAGGGTTCATGGGAGTAGCCTCCAGATCAGGGTGCTGGGGGTGATGTCAGACAGGAAAGATGGTGAAGTGACCAGAGCAGGGCATGCTGTGTGCAGAAACTGTGGACGCTGAAGTGGGCATGGAGGTGGCTGTCGACCAGGAGTTCTTCCCGGATCTCCATGACAACACTTCCAAGGCCTACAAGGATTTCAGTGACAACTTCCGCAGTCAGGTGAGGGTGGAGCTGAGGGACTCAAAGGTCCTCCCCTGGTTGCCCTCAACTCTGGAGGTTCAGACGTGAGCCCAGCAACTTTTTGCTTTTCAGATGCAGAAGATTTACCAAAATGTGCAGGGGTTCAAGGATGTGGAGATCCTGTCTCTGAGGTAGGAGACCCTTCTAAGGCTGTGGAGGCAGAGTGAGCTGGGGGAAGGGGGCGTAAAGAAAGGCTGGAGAAGCCATCTCTTGCTTTTGGAATCATCAGACTTCATAAAGGGAAGGGTGGAGGCAGTGTGGGGACTTTAGCGATCATTTTCTGGAGCCATTTCTCTGAAGGAGGGCACCACCCCTCCTCTCTAAGCACGTCAGAAGGAGAGAGATTGCATGCAGGGAAGTGGTACCTGAGGGCTGGAGGGAAGTCTGGTGTCTGGACTGTAGCTGGTCTCATTCTGGCTGGCACCTGGTCTGCTGAGTGGGTCAGCATGAGCCTGGCAGAGAGCCCAGGAGGCCCTGGTTTGGTAATGGCTTGAGGCAATGCAAAGGAATGCCAATCATTCCTTGTCATGCCTTCCCAGGCTGACAACATCAGGGATGCTGGCAGCCCCTTCTGAAAATAATGTGCCTGGCATCCCAACTCGTTGCCTTTGCCCCCTTCCCTTCTACACATGACCACCTATGGTTGGCCTTGGAGGTGCCCTTCTAGAACCTCTGTGCCCCAGGCCTGGGAGGCCTGTAAGGTGCCTAACCCCTTGACCATTTCAGGAATGGCAGCATCGTGGTGGACTATGTGGTCCTGCTGGAGTTGCCCTTCAGCTCCCAGTTGGAGACAAACTATGAGATGGTGAAGGCAGCCCTGAAAGACGAGCTTCACAATGTCAGCCAGGACATGGACAGCTGCCAGAATAACCAGAGTGAGCCGAGGCTGGGCGCCTTTGGCTGGAGGGAGGGGTGTGATCCACAGCCAACTGGGTCAAGGATGGGGCTAAGGAGGGGTTTGCCAGAACCTGGGTGCTGGGGAAGAGCCCGCCTGACAGTTCTGCTCAAGATCTCCAGGATGGCTGAGGACCCCTGATTATTTGGGGAAGATGAGCCCTGTCTGCCCCTCCCCACGCCTGCCCTGCTTCCCTGGCCTGGACCCCTTGACTCATGCCAATTCCACCTGTGCCTCTGTCCCCTCAGCCTTGTGTTTTAAGCCTGACTCCATCACTGTGAGAAACGACACCAGGATGGAGATGACCCCACAAGGTGAGTGTGGGACAAAGGACTGAGTGGCCACAGGAGGCCATGACCCCTCAGCGACATCTGCCCGCTGAAATTCTCTGGGGAGAATGGGAGACCTTTTGGGGAGGCAAGTGATGACTTCCTGACCCTTATTAACAGCTTCCTCCTGAGGACTGGCAGGCAGGGTGAGGAGTCGGTGAGAGTCCGGCGGGCCTGCCTTGCCGACTTCGGATCCCACGGTCTACCCCACGACACCCCACCCTCAGAAATGGAGTCCTCCCCATCCATTTTCAGAGTCCCCGTAACCAGGCTCCTGAGTAGTCTCTCTGCAACCCCCTCTTCTCCCCACAGCCATCTGCCGTCGGGCCGCTCCCGAGGTCTATGAGGATTACTACTTCCCCTTGGAGGAGGAGAACCGGCTCCGCTGTGTCACCAACTGCACGTCAGACGTGGAAGGCGCCATCAACTGTAACCAGGGCCAGTGCTTTGTGCAGAAGACTGGTCCTGAGTGCCGGTGAGGCCCCGCCCACACGTGCGCGCCCCGCTCACTCCCCCTGTCGGGAGCCCCGCCCACCTGCCAGCCCTGGCTGGGTCCAGTTGCGCGAGTTAACCGGGCTTGGGAGGTGGCGGGGTCTGTGACCTGTGACCCCCTCTCCAGCTGCTTCTCCACGGACACGCTCTGGTTCTTGGGCCCACGCTGCGAGGTGGCCGTCCAGTGGAGGGCGCTGGTCGGGGGCCTGGCCGGGGCCGGAGCGCTGCTGCTGCTGCTGCTGCTGGCGCTGACATTCTTCGTCAGGCGCTGGAGGAGGAGCGGCCGAGGCGGAGCCCGGTGAGCACCCTGGGGGTTGGGGTGAGGGCGGCAAGGGGCCTCAGACCCGGAGGCCCTGCCCTGACGACGCTGTGCCCTGACTCAGGTCCTGGGACTACGACAAGAAATGGTTTGAGATTTGGGATGAGGACACCGCAGGGACTTTTTCCAACTCGGGCTTCCAGGATGACCAACCTTGTGAGTCCTGCCTCCTGGGCAAGAGTGGCAGGGGTTTCCCTGGGCATCACCCCAGCCTGGGCAGTACCAGGTGACCTTCCCTGGCCAAGAAAGACACATAGCTCCTGCCAGGGCTCTGGCATCTCCTCTTCCCTGAGCCCCTCCTGGGGAAGGCCAGGTCCTGCACAGGCTGTCCCTGTAGGGCACGTGGGGACACAGAAGCCCCCTGAAGCCCTGACTCCATCACGTTTCTTCCCTCTCCCTCTTCTCCTCTCCCCTCCTCTTTTCTCTCTCTCTAGTCAAGGATGAAAATTTCCAGGTGGCCTTGGAGATGGTGGACACCAATGTGAGGGTGAGAGGGCAAAGGGGGGATGGTAAGTTCTCCCAGGTCCAGCTCCAGTTGCCCCACCCACCCACCAGGGCAGGCGGCTGGGCTGGGACCAGGAGGCAGTGAACTCCCAGCCAGCCTGAGCGAGGTGGCTCTGTTCTGACTCCCTCTCATGTGCTCTGTGGCAGGTGCACACCCAGAGACCTGAGGTGGACTTGTCCTCGATGTGAGCCCTGCCCTACCCTGTCCACCTGCCCTGGACAGCGGGAAGGAAGCATCTGCTCTGCATCCATTTCAAGAGATGGCCAAGGACTCATGCAGCTCAGCCTCCTGGAATCCTGGGCAAAATCAGACTGTCCCCAGACCGGCACGCTCTCAACTTGGATGAAACCCACCTGCAAACCCAGGTCAAACCCAGGATCTTCCACTGTGGGACCTTGGGCAGCTCAGTAGCTTCTCTGAACTTGTAAAATGTGTATAGCATACTTGTCCTGATACCTTGAACAGTCATTGTGCAAACCAGATGTGGTCGCTCAGATCTCTGTCCCAATGCACCTTCCTGTGTCAGCCCTCATCTATGTGGCCTCTCTCAGATTCCCAGTCCCCACATCCTTTGCCCATCTCAGGCCTCAGTCTCTTGTTCCCTGTGCACATCCCTACCACCTGCCTCCCAACACCTGTCGCCAGCCTTCAACCCATCCCTGCCTCCTACCGTCTGCTAAGGTGACTCTCTACGGTGCCCCTTCCCCCATTCCTTATATCTTCTCCCCGTCTAAACCCACTTCTTAATCACGCCTCTCCCCTATCCAGCTCCCAGCCTTACATCTCTCCCCATTTATGTTTTCTCCCCTTACCCATCCTTGTTCCTTCCACCCTAAATCCTTAACCCCCATCCCAGCGTCCCAGTCCTAAGTCCTTCCCTGCCCCACCCCTGTCCCTATGCCCACTGCCACTTAGGACCCCTAGCTGGTACTCCCCAGGCCCTAGTTCCCCCTTCTGAGGCTCCATCCCTTCCTCTCCCCCAAGGGCCCTGGATGCCCGTGGGTGGGGGTGGGATGTGGGGTGTGTGTTTCCAGGTCCTCCAGGATGAGGGGAAGTGGGACCCTGAGGTGAGGAAGCTCCCTCAGCCCCCTCCTCCTTTCCTAACTCCATCCCCTCCCTTACTGCCTCACCTCTCTTTCCGACCCCCTTGCCAGCTCCTCCTCTCCCTTCCTCTCCCGGGTCTCACCCCATCCCTGCAATAGCCTCTCAGCCCAGAAGCCCACAGCCTCCTTCGCAGGAAGGTCTCATTTGGGGACAGGAATTCTGCAATCCTCCAATTCTCCCATGTGAATGCAATATAGCATTTATTGTAAACGATGCTGCTCTGTGTCTTTCTCCGTCTCACTTGCTGGTGTCACTGCTAGGTTGAGAACAGGGACATCCAGAGGAGCTGTTGCGGGGCGGCTGGAAGCGCCAGTTTCTCACAGCAAGGAAGGGAGGGGTCTGTGGGCAGCTCTCAGGGACCACTGCTGTCTTCATAAGGAACATAGAGATTGGGGGGCCCAGATTCTTAGGGAGTGGGTGGGGGCAGGAGAGCCTCTTGATGGGCAGAAGGCAGAGCTCTCTTGAGTTTGTCATCCTTGCCCTTCCCCCTTGATGTCAGGAGCTCAGGGTTGGGTCAGGGAGGTGGCTGGCCCAGGCTGGGTCAGCTGCCATTGTCGCTGATGGATAAGCTGGGTCTCCACAAAGGCCTTGACCTCCCCAGGCCCTGGGGTCAGACACACACTTGCAGCAAGGCCTGCATGCCCAGGCTTTGGGCTCTCCTGGTCCTGCTGTTGTGGGCAGCCGGGGCTGCTGGGCTCAAGCTGAAGGAGGTTGGGGCCGATGGAGTGAGATTCTTTGGGTGGGAGTATGGGAAAGGCCCCTGGGAGCTTTGCCTAGGACAGGAAAGGAACTGGCAGTGGCCAGGGAGGAGACCAGGATCATAAAGCCTCAGGTGTGGGCCCCACCCAGGAGAAGAGCTGGTGGTCCGAGGCCCAGGGCAAGGCACTGGAAATTTGGCATGGGGCAGGTTGAGACGGATGATGGGAAAGGAAGTCTGGAAGAAAGAGGGGCCTCCGGGGGGCTGGGTGGGGCAGAGTGTCCTTCCCTCAGCCTGGCCTGTCGGTGACTGCTCCTTCCAGGGCTCTTTCACCCCTCCCTCCATCGACACCATCTCCCTGGTACTTCTTGGCCCTGGCTTCTTGGAAGCCAGCCGTCACACACTTACAACTCCAGCCACCTGTCCCTCCCTCTTGCCCTGCCCCACCCATGGCTCAGGCTTCCACTGGAGAGACCCTGGCTGAAGGGCGGTCAGCTCTCCTGGAGTTAGAGGGGAGGAGGTTTGACAGGCTGCCCTTTGACCAATTCCCGTTGGTCATCATGCGCCACCCACCAAGCCCCATTGCTGTACCCCCACCCTAGGCCAGGCGCTGTCCTTCCCAAGGCAAAGGTCTCCAGGGTCCTTTTTATAGCTGATCCCTCCCTGGGAGGTGCTCATTTCTTGATCCCTCCTGATGAGGGAAGACCCTGCAGCCAGGCCTGCACTCTCTGGAGATGCTGGTGATCCAGATCCTGCCACTGGCTCTCTGGCTCGGGGTGACTGCTACAGTGACAACGCCGACGACAGGTGAGTGAGACCTGGCCCTGCCATCCCTGTGTGTGCTGGCCTCAGGCAGGGCTGCAGGTGGCTGGCCCCTGTCCTTGTCTCCCTCCCTTTGCAGAGAACAGGGCTTCCAAAGGGCTGGACACCCAGGCTGTGACCCCCTCCTGCTTTTGGGGTGCTAAAGTGGTCACCCTGGACCTGCAGGTGCAGAGGAAGGGGCATGGCTTGTGGTTGTGCAATTGGTGGCCTATACCAAGCCTCTGGCCGAGGGCCGAGTGGGATTGGAATTTACCCCCCTGCTCTCCAGGGGAAGGAGGGCTTTTTCTTTACCTAGATGGTGCGCTCTGGCTGCCCTCATCCTGCAGGCTGCCTCTTTCTATAGGGCTGGGGCTGTCCACACCTCACAGAGGTCATGTCCAGGCTGCAGCCCTGACTGGGGAGGGAAGGAGTCCGGGCCATCAGGTAGCTTCCCCACTTCTTGGAGGAGAGCCTCCCTAGTTAGAAATGGCTGAGGACTGAGGGGGAGACACAGGCTCGGGGGTCCTTCTGGAACCTTGCCATGGTTGTTTCTATGGGAAAGGACTGGTTCCAGTGCAGAACAGACTTTCGGGTCCTCTCCCCAAGGACAGGGAAGAGCCCAGGGATTCTGAGGGCAGGGTGGCCGGGGGGGCGCGAGGGGCGTGGGGCAGCGAGCCCCACGCCCCAGGTGAAGAGGGAGCTCAGTGGAAGGGCCTGCAGCTGTGTGAGGAGGAGTGGTAAGTGGGTAGGAGGGGTGGGAGGCGGGGGTCTCTGTCGCTCTGCAGGGCGGGCCATGAGGTAACCCCCTCAGCCCGCCATGCCCCGTCATGCTTTTCCCCCATCCAGGCATTTTGGGGGTGCAGCAGTGCAGGCTGGAGTCACTGAAGGAAGAATATCAGGGCCGGGGGTGTGACGTGTGTGGCTTTAGGGACATTATGAAAGAACATTAATTACAGATATATTACCGTTAGGGTGATATACAGACTAGGAAGCTATGGGCAAGGGTCAGCCTTTCAAAGGGTTTTCCCTGTCCCTGGTCCCGGGCAGACTCCTGGCCTCTCTCTGGCCAGGTTATCTGAGGAGAGGGCTGGTGGTGGTCATGATGATGGTGAAGGACCCAACAGTCAGCAAGACTCTGTGTGCCCTCCACCCGTTATTGGCAGCTACCCACATGAGCAAAGACCCCTTTTCCTAAAGCGCTTATAATTGCCTAGAAAAGATCATGTTGACACAGGTGAACCCATTAGCATGCAGGAATCCAAAAGCAACTCTATGATAAGTGCAGAGAGCTGTCAGGAGGGGGCGAGGCCAGGGCCCTTCCAGGGGACTCCAGAAGGTCTCATGACACCCAGAGGCCCCTGGCCCCACTTGCAGAGGGCTCTGCTATGTACAAAGGCATTTCACAGCAGGCAGCCCATAGGACCCTCCCAAGGAAGATTGTGTAAGGAAGTGAAAGCAGACAGGAAATTGAAGCTTAACAGGGTGAGTGACCTACTGGGGCCACACAGCAAGCAAGTAGCGTGACCTCACCCATTTGGCACTGGGTTTGTACTGCTCTGTCCCTGCACAGGAGGACCTCAGCCCTCTGTGACACCACTACCCCATGTGGCTCTTCTGGGTCCCCAGGGAGGGGTTCAGATGTGGGGTCAGAGACCACCAGGGCATCTGTGTTTTTCCTTGTTGCGAATCTGCAACCTCCTCTGGGTGGGTATTCCAGTTCACTGGGAGGACTGATGGGGCTTTGGACAACATCCATAGGGAGAAGGAATACCAGCCTGGGAAGGTAGACAAACATGCACAGGGCCGTGCAGGGGACTGGAGGAGGAGAAATGCCCTGAAGGTGATGGGGTGGATGCCTGGTGGGCGTGAGGTTTGCTGGGGAAAGTGTGGCGGTGAGGGAGCATCTTTGGGCAACAAGAGCATAAAAGCCAAGTGCAGGCTTTTAGGCATAAGAGGACCTCTGTGGGCTGCTCAGAGGTGGGTCTCCCCCGCCAGGGCAGATCCCAAGAGAGGCAATGAAAGCCAGCCTGGCATGAGGCCATGATGATGTAGCTGGGAACCCTGGAAACAGAGAGGAAGTTTCCACTTGGTGATGGGCTGTGGGGGCAGTGAGATAAGCATTCCTAGAGCCGGCATGACTAGGAGGGCAAGAACCTCTTTTTGGTGGTTGACAGTGGCCTTTAGGTGGGCCTTGTGAGTTTGGGGTGACCATGGAGCTTCTGGGCAGAGCTGTCCTGGAGGCCTGGGGCTCAAGGAGGAAGACGGAAATAGAGACACAATCTAGAATTCTGTATTCTCCATGGGCTACAGGGACCACAAAGACCAGACAATGCTAGGGATCAACGTGAGGATTGGAACCAGCATCCCGTTTTGTTAACATGAGGTTCCAAAGTGCTCATAGTAATGGCGGGGGAGGGGAGCTCCTTGGGATGCATGGGGTCAGGGATGACGTGTGTCCTGGAGGGCTGGCGCAGAGCCTGAAGGGGTCAGAGCTCTGTAGCCTAGAAAGGTGAACTGAGAGTGGAGATGTCCAACACGTATAAAATCGGGAAGAGTGTGGTGAAGATTTGCTCACAATACACAAAGGGGCAACCTTTGACACTTGTGTGACGTAAATTTAGAGTAATTAGAAAGAAGTGCTGCTTTATGTGGAAAGCAATAAACTTACTCATTTAGCAAACACAGGAGGCCTGGCTCTGCCTGGGCAGGTGCTGGGGCTCTGCACGAAGCTGGATGAATAAGCCCATTTAGAGTTGAGTTTATTAGATGGGACATGGGAAAGGTGCAGAAAGAACCACAGCCCAAGCCCGGTGCCGAGGCTCTGAGAGGGGCCCAAGAGGGTGGAGGGGTGTGGAGGGGGCCTCAGACGCTGCTTCTGTCTGGGCTGATCGGGGAGGCTGCAGGGGGAGGTGGCACTAGATTTTGGTGGCTATTGAGGAGTAGTACGGAAAAGTATTAATAGACACCCAAGGGCCTTAGGCAAATTCAGAACTGACAAAGCCACGTGTAACTATAGAGAGAATTGGAATATTGATAAAAAGCTTCCCTGGGTACAGCAAATTGGGAAACCACACTGACCCTGTCATCTGGGTGTTATATTAATAATCAAAATTGCTCATGACCATGGAGGGTCTGCTATCTGCTAGACGCTGTTTGAAATGATATCATCATCTCATTTAACTTTCCCAACAACCCTAAGAGGAAGTGCTGTTACTGATTTCTGTTTTATACATGGGGAAACTGAGGCATGGAGATTTTGAATAGCTTGTTCAAGCTTTCCCATCCATCAAGTGGAGGAGCCAGGGTTTGAACCCAAGCTGTCTGACTCCAGAGCTCACATTCTTTACCACTTGCTCTGACTGGGGTTGCCCACGTATGTTCGTTTCCTGTGAATGACCACCAACTTGGTGACTTCAAACAACAGAAATTCATTCTCTCACAGTAATGGAGGCTGGAAGTCTGAAGTGAGGTATCAGGGCCCAGTTCCTCCAAAGGCTCCAGGAGAGGATCCTTCCTTGTTTCTTCCAACCTCTGGTCGCTCCTGGCGAGCCTTGGCTCTGGTGGCATCACCCCAATCTCTGTCTCAGTCTTCACATGGCCATCTTCCCTGTGTGTGTCAGATCTCCCTCTCCTTTCTCTTATAAGGACCCCAGTATTTAGATTTGGGGCCCACCCTAAATCCAGGATGGTCTGAGCTTGAGATCCTTAACTTAGT